TCTGATCCCTTCAATTCTACAGAACACAAACAATAGAAATTTGTATAGGAACAAAATGACCCTATACAAGGAGTATAAAAAAACTGCACCTTAATTATTCCCAGGGCCTAGGATCCTTTGTTATTGAATAGAAGCGAACATATTTAACAATTATTGTCCGAAGGCAAGGTGAATATCGCGAGACAGTATAATTACAAAGGTAACTTTTTAAAAAAACGAACCTGTTGTAGAAAATACATGTTTTACAAACGTAAACAAATATATTGACAGTTTTATGGCGAATCAAGTAAAACAGTGTTCGCAAAATAAAGGTGAAAAGCGTACTACAAAATAGTTTTGTACCTTAAAAATATTAGATCTAATTTTTTAACTTAATTGTGCTTTCTGATGCAGTATTTTCGTTATAACAACGTATTTTACCTTCTACGGTGGCCCACAAGTCTCACGGCAAAAATAAAACTCGCAGCAATATGAAATTAACTAACAGCAAAATAAAATTAACTCATGGCAAAATGAAATGAACTCACGTTAGGCCGGTCAGTTAGGGTTCGTAACATGGCTGCTGGTGGCGACAGAAAGTAACGATGTTTTGTTCTGGCTGCGGAAATGCGATTTCGCGAGATGATAAATTTTGTGCGAATTGTGGAATTGTTGAGTTAATTTATTCGATTAATCAAATTACAAAATGCATTTTATTGTAGCATTAAAATATGAAATATATGGCGCCTTATTTAGTATGCATCAGCATGTATTTACATTGTATTTGCATGTTTAGCACATTTTATGTGTGATTGAATTTGTAATGATAATTCTTATTGCAAATTACAAACAAAATTGCAAAAATAGATGTTCTTGAATTGGGAAACGGCGATATAATTATTAGGTAGAGAGGGACTAAGTGATTAAGAGGAGATTTTTTATTATGTCACGTATTTTGGCGGGAAAACGCTCAAAACCTAAAATATTTTCGGCGTACCGCCCAAAATGAATTCATTTACCTTTATTCTTTAGATAATGTTGTGAACTAAGTTTTGAACTGTGTTTGCATGATGATTGCGAAACGACAAAGAGTTACATATTTCAAAATATAATGCGGCGGCTATCAACAATGTTATAAACGTCATTAACGCCATTATAACTGAGATGAATACAAAAGTAGCTTCGATTCAAGTGTTATTTTCTTCTCGGCGTATCCCGAGAAATCTTTTCATTTTCACAATATTTCAAGATTATGCAGTAAACATACTTTGTGGATGCTTTTCAGGTTTGCAAAACATTTTTAATGCTGAAAATTTTAGTGCTGTTGCATGAAGATATAACTGAGGTTTTGAGCATAAATTACGCGACATAGAAAAATATCTCCGCTTAAATATTAAAACTTGAAAACAGAATTTTCTGACCCCAAGTACATGAAAGTAAAAACGTAGCCATTTTTTAAAGGAAATGCGAAAATTTTTGGGCCCCCGAAAGAATTATCAAATGCTCAAGTGTATGCTCATCATCCCCCCCCCCAATTCTAGTAGCCTTCCCAAAATATATAATGGCAAATAGTAATTGCATCTTAGGTTTTAGAGATTTAACAGCATGTCAAATTCATTTTATAATAATTATCATACATAGCTGATAAAATGTGAAACGGGTGTAAGAAAGCATAAAATTTGTGTTCAATGTGAAATAGAGCAGTTGTATTTTATATGCCTGTGTATTTTTGTTTGTGATTCTATGAGCTGTCTTTAGATCTTTTTATGATTTTCTGGTTTAGCGATAAAAAAGCAAACAGTAAGAGTGCCATTAAATCTTTTAAAGAATATCGAGAATTGAAAGACAAGGAAACTTCAACCACTAAAAAAAAGAGAAGGGGAAAGGATGTCGTGATTAATAACTTTTTATTAATCGAGCGCGAGGTCTTTACCGAGAAATATCCAAACGAGTTCTTGTTCTTCTGGTATAGACTACAGACGGAGCTCGAAGAGCGAAGTTTGTACAAAAAGATGGAGGTCCGCGATATTTCTCGATAAAGACCGAGCAAGCGAGGTTAATAAAAAAATTATTATATGGCATAAGGCATGTATTTGCACTTGAAACAAACAAGAAATGCGTGAATTCGTATTAGTAGCCTGGTACGCATTTGATAAAAACAAAATATTGAATTATTTAGTTTACCTAAACTTTCTGGGGACGTCTTATCGATTTCAAAAGCAATTAAGTTTTCTCTTGAGCATTTATTTGTGCCTTTTTATTCAGTATTTCTCTGTTTTTCCATCTCGTAATCTCGCCGGTAACTTAAGTGCCGGTTCATTCACGGAAAAGTAATGGACCGCTGAAAATTATTCTCAGCCTAGCACTGAGCTCCATTTCACCGGAAGTGACGCTTGCCATACAATATTGGTTTTATGGAGTGGATTGAGAAGGAACAAGAACTAGCACGTAAGAGAGGCAAACGACTTCCACTTAGAGTTTCACCAACAATCTTATATTGGCCTTTTGTAAAAGAAGCAGAAACCAAATAGAAGAATTTTAGCAGCAATCTTTTCCAGCCTGAAGTAGCATATTAATTTTATTGTTGTACAAAGATAGACGAAATGCCATTTTGCTGCCTGGTTCAAATGAAAATTTTAGCTTAAACCACTACCGAAAAGAGATTGGAAAGGATTATAGCTAAGAATATAACAGAAATATACATGCATGTAGCATCCCCTCAAATCAAAATATTTCCTTTATAGCCAGACCTTATCCTTAAAGCTTATATTATGAAATGATTTAAATAAGCCCATAGGCATAGCCTATGATAGCTGATGTTTCAAATCTTTCGGAAAAAAACACAATGATAAAGGTGAAGTAAAATCGGACAGTTTCCCTGCTGCACTAGTCACAGTCTTTGTGAGATACTTCGCTATAGCTAAATCTTCAAAACATCAATACAGCACAAATTAAATCCCCAAACACTAAACGTCGAATGTTTTTTTTCGATTATTGAATTTTTTGCAATGATTGCAGTAGACTCTATAATAAGCTTTGAAAGTGATAATATTTGTTTTATCAAAACTCCAAATTACACTTTCAAGAACTCTAGAAGTCTCAACAGCCTTAAATAGTTGGTTAGGTCTTTGTAAAACGACATACCAAGCTCATGCTTATGAAAATAAAATGCATTCTTAGAGCAAACAAATAGACACCTGCCACTTCAAGGATTATAAATTAAGAGTCGTTTCTATTTCTCCGCTAGTCGCTCCCTATTTTTCCGCTAGTTGTTCCTATGTACATTGAAAAAATAGTTTGCAAAATGAAAGCTAAAATGTCCCTGTTGCCAGAAACGACTCGCCGCCATTTTGAAAAATCTGCTTCGATGATTATCGTGTATTTAATATACAATATTCGTGTATTGGCCTAAATCTACTCACGCGATTGGTCAAAAGCAATCACGTGGTTTCTTGTTGCCTGGCGACAGATCATGGGAATTATCATAGTTTATTCGCAATAACCCATGAAAATCGTGGTTTATTTGCAATAACCCATGAAAATCATGGTTTATTAAAAAATTACAGCCTGCAACGAAGCTTGGATCTTCAATGCAGCAATCAATGAACTTAGATTGCATAATATTAAAAGTGTTAGAGACTTTATGTTCGTGTTTTGTTCACAAATAAACGCACTTGCTGACCATACAATGAACTCGAAATTTCAATATCGTTCAAATATTTTGAAATTTCTCGTTCGTTGTATGGTCAGCGCGTGCGTTTATTTGTGAACAAAACACTCACAACAGTCTCTAACTCTTAAATAATCCGAGGTCGCTCAACGAAGCAGAGGCCAGAATTTTCAATAATCGCCTTTGTAATTATACTAAATATGGACATTAAATATATCTTATACACAAAAATCACGATTTATTCTTTTTTTAAAATTTCAATGGTGCAAACTTAAATGTCTCCCTAATCGATCATGAATATTTTTTCCCTAATGTCTCCCTAATCGATCCTGAATAATTGATATTAATTACCGTCCATTGGCTTACTTTATTGTTTCTTTGTTCTGTTGTATTGTTCTCTACTAGAAATACATGCATGCAAAATCCCCTTACCTGAAACAATAAATATATATTTCCATCACTGAAATTCTATAATAATCGTTCATGCTGAATGATCAAAGTCGTATAAGTAAAATCCTATATCAAGTACAATTATAAAGTCGACTCTCGAGCTATCACATTCAACTATAATCATGCATAATTCATTAACTGTGCTGCGAAGAGTTTTAAGTACTGTACTACAATTTTTAGCGAAATTTCAATTCCTTTTTAAACATGCACTCTAAATCTCCAAGTGTTGTACAAACACCAAAAAAGGTGTAAACTACTGCCTCCCTACAAACACCCAAAGAGGTGCAAATACACACCTTCTTAAATATGCACTCAACGGGGTATATTTACACCAATTTTGGTGTATATCCTCTTGCCTCGGTATTTACACTAAAAGGTGTATACTTACACTGCAAGGGGTATATTTACACTTTACAGTATCAATATACACCATGAGTGTATTTATACACCAAGTTGGGGGGAACACTATAAGTGTATATTATTTTACCCCGAAAAGTGTATATTTATACTTATGGGGTTAACATACACCATAAGGTGTATTTGATAACTACTGCATTCACTGATGTAATGATCCTATATATATGATGAACAAACCTGCAACTTCTATATTGAACGAACAATAATTATTTTATTTAACGGATAAATAAATTATATATTTGTTTAAAAACCTATGAGCACTATAAGCAGGAACATAACAAAGCATAAAAAATTACAAAATTGAATGGACAAATATGCCCTCTAACCTATTTATACATTTCTTTCATTTCTAGCAATGAAATTAAGTTATTAGTAGGCTTTGAATTATCACATAATTATGCAAAATTATTTATTATTCTTATACCTTAATTATTCTTATACCTTATATCTTAGTAAGTACGTGCCCATATGAATGAATAAATAA